CAGACTAAAGAGCAGTTATGGTTCATTCTGATTAGTTTGGAGTTATTTAACAATGCAGTTTGAGTTACACACACATTGTAACTGTGTTATTATTTTGTGTGTGCTAATTGCTGCTGCATTTATTATGTCAGAATAAAGTATTTTTGAGAGCCTTCCCATATGGCATGCATGCATGCATATATAAAATAAATAAATAAACAAATAAATAAATAAATAAATATTTAAGATTATACAAAAAATTGCCCAATTTTTTTCTTTCTAAAATATATTATGTAAATATATTTTCTACCTCTATGTATTTTGTTTGGCCATTTTTGTATATTTTTAACAAATATAGTTTAAAAAATGTAAGCATTTAAAACTATATTTTGCCTTCCATATATTTCAAGAAAATACATTCACATATGTCACATTTGAAGAAAACCTTATTTGTTATCTATAACAACATTATTAAATCATTGTAAATAGTAGGCTATTCCATCCACATTTGCATTTATCTTAAATGTGGGCTATACTGTAAGATTGCAAATGTATTGCAAATGTATTTTCTTGCCACTGAAATTGTACCTGTATTTAAAAAATATATATATATTGGTATATGATTGTAACTAAATGTATTTTCAAATTAAAACTATATTTCATTGAGCTTCACTGTTTTCAGCATATTGTTAGCATATATTTAAAATATATTATGGCCAGAAAAAATATAGTTTTTTGTCTTATGGGCTGCTTTGCTTTAGTCATTAACCTTGGTAATAGTTTAGTTTAGGGGCCTAATCTCACTATTAACTAGTTGCTTATTTGCATGCATATTACTAGTATATTGGCTGTTACTATTATTCTGCTTGACCATATTCTAGATCCCTTAATCCCTTAATTTAACAACAACCTTATTAACTATTAACAAATTAGGATTTTTTTTAGGTAGAAGTCATAGTTATTTGATAGTGAGAATTGGACCAAGTGTGACCAAGATTTCCTTGGGTTATTATTATAAGCCACTGAAATGTTGTCTGTTTAGGTAAGTGATATATGTATGAATGTGTGCTGTTTAGAAGCTGGCGGGGAGAATATTTTTGTGTGTGAAGCTCTTCAATGTGCATTCAGAGTCAGTGTGTGCAGGAAGACGCTCTGAAGTTGTTTTGAAATATCTCCTCATTGTTCCAGAAGTCTCTGTCACATTTTTCTTTGTGTTCGTCTGTGTCACGTCTGCTGTCTCACTCCAACTCTTGGCTCTATTTTTTGCCAGCCAACTTATTACCGGAGACACAGGTAGCAGCTCTTCACAAACATAATATTTTCACACACGGGTGACAATAATTGTGATCTCCACAAAGCATGGACGCCTTGTCGTGTTTGCAGGATGGCGTCCTCCTTGTCTCCTGCGAGGTGGAAGAAAGCCCGTGTTTGTGCTGCTGAAGATGAAGGCAGCGTCTCTGTCACGGCAAACTAAACATTTTTGATTGCATTTCTTTAAATGGCGCTTTTTGATCGGCTTGTTTTGAACAGATGTGCCGTTCCAAACAGATAAGAAACAACCTCGTGCCTCGTGCAAATGTGATGCCCGCAGCAGTCTTCATACTGTCGCCTTTCTGTTTCTCCTCGAGTCTGGCGGTTTTCATGTCAGAGACCAAAATGTAGCTATTCTTTCTTTAAAGAGTAATATAGGGGACGAGAGATTGTTTCACTGTTATGTGGGTCTGTTAAGCCAATTACAACTCTTAATATACATAAAATCTGTAGAGCGATCAATACATGTATCTTACGTGACAGTGTTACAAAGTTTCACATATGTGTTAATAGTTGTTAATTTTTACAGTTTATAATTTATATTTGTTGGAAAATGGTAACTTTTACAGTACCTGTTTGTTTTTTGCTGTGCAATTGTTTTATTGTAAAAAAATACCATAAGGTTTTAAGGTATTTGTCTACGCAGAAATTGGCTTTCAAAAATAATAGGAAATATTTACTAGTACACTGTAAAAAAAATAATTTTTCAAAGTTGTAAATAAAAAAGAGAGATGCAGATTTTTGCAGTACGTTTTACAAGAAAACACTAATTCAGTCTTTCTACTTTAAAATCTGACATTAAATTGGATTTGTTATCCTGTTAAGTAAATCCTACATTTAATTTGTGTTAATCGAAATAAAGCTGAAATAAAACGGTTACACTTTATTTTTAGGGTTTGGGTTAGGGTTACTTGCATGTAATTATGCATAATTAATTGTTATTATAACAGTAAATGCATGTAACGTGTAACAAGGACACCTTGAAATAAAGTGTTACTAGTAAAATATAAATAATAGATGAAAAACTTGACCTGAAATAAAATAAAGTATAAAAGTACTAAAATTACGGCAATTAAAACTGGATTAAAATAAAGCTAAATATTTATAATAAATTATATTAAATAATATATTAATGTATATTGAATATATTAAGTCATAAATTAAATAAATATTTTAAAAAGTAAAAATGACAAGCCCAACAAAATTTCTGACATTTAAACTAAAATTTTGAATGAAAACTAAAATTATTTAAAATAAAAGCTAATTAAAAATGTTAATAAATATTATGATAGTGTATGTGATACTAAAATAGCACTAAATTAAAGCTAAATATATTTATAATAAATTATATTAAATAATATATTAAAGCATATTAAATATATTAAGTAATAAATTAAATATTAAAAAAATAAAAATGACAAAAGCACAACAAAATTACTGAAACTTTAAAATGAAGCTAATTTGAAATGTTAATAAATACTATGTTAATATATAAATAATACTAAAACAACACTGCATTTATTGTATAGTGCAAAAATAGGTCTACTTTTGCTGTATATACAGTGGCTCAAAACTCTTAGACCACATTAAAACCACATGAATTCCAAATCTAATTTAAACCTTGAAATAAACAGAACCTTTTAGGATTTTTAAAAATGCAAAAGTAACAAACACTATGACAGTGTATTCTGTTCTGTTTCTAGGTCACCAATCAGGTGAGTAAATGAGTGACTTTGATCATGTGACTCTTTGTACAGACTCCCACTGAAGTGCAAGATCTATAAATCTGGATCTTTCTCAAATCATGCTGGAGAACAATTTGTTGTGCCAGTTAAAACGGTCCATTTTGTAATCATGCTTTTTGCTGCCTGTAAAGTCTCTTCTCTGTGTCAAGTACAATCTGTTCTGAGGAACGAGTGCCACTGCTGGGAAAGTCTGGAAAACAAAGAAAGAAATTGGCAAACCATGTCTGGGCTTCATGTTGACACGTCTGTTTGTATGACTTGTTCTGCTGGTTCCTCTGTCTGTCTTCAGCCTCACAGTGCAGGCAGATGTTTTATTCATATGAAGACGGGCTCTGCGTTGTTGGATAAATTGGCCGTCTCATGAAAGACTGCCAGTGAACTTGTCAGACTGCACAGGGAATTTCCAAACCCAGCGACCCACATTGAGCTAACGACTGGACAAGCTTCCCGCTGAGAGAGCAGAGCGCAACATTAAACATAAAAGCATCTCAATTCTTCAGAATGGAAGCATTTTAATAGAGGCGTCAACTCAACAATAAATCATTTCAACAAAAGTCAATTCATTCTGTAATAAACTTACATCTATAAAAAATAAGCCACTGTATGTAATAATATTACTTGTTTTTCTTAAGAGAAGCATAAAACAACAATATATACATATATACATAATGCAAAGACTGTTCTAATAACAGGAATTATTAGAAATTATATTGTTCCGATTGCATTGGTGGATGAGTGCAGCTGTTCAAAACAATGCTATTTTAGTATCATTGTTATATTTATTATTGTTTGTGTTAATGTTTTGAATTAGATCTGAATTGAATTACTACTATTGAATACTAATTAGAAGTGAATTAGTAATTTCATACTATTACTGTATATAATATATATTACAATTATTTATTTTTTTGTATTTTTATAAAATATAATTATATAATTTATTATGTGTTTTCAAGTTTTAGTAATTTTATTGTGTGTTTTAGTAATATTTATTATTTTTTAAAACTTTTTTATAGTTTTTTTATAAAGTTTTAGGTTTTAGTTTATTTAGTTTGTTTATTTTAATACTTAAAGTTAAACGAAAAAAAGCTATTACTGTATATAATATATATTACAATTATTTATTTTTTTGTATTTTTATAAAATATAATTATATAATTTATTATGTGTTTTCAAGTTTTAGTAATTTTATTGTGTGTTTTAGTAATATTTATTATTTTTTAAAACTTTTTTATAGTTTTTTTTATAAAGTTTTAGGTTTTAGTTTATTTAGTTTGTTTATTTTAATACTTAAAGTTAAACGAAAAAAATAATGAACCAGCTGTATGAACTATGTACGAAAGAGGATTAGGGCCAAGCAATAATAAAAAAATAAAACCATCTCGAGATTAAAGTCGTTAAATTTCAAGAAAGAACTTGTTAAATTTCAAGAAAAAAGTCTAGATAAAATGTTGAGATTAAACTCATTAAATTTCGAGAATAAAGTCGTTATGTTTCGAGAAAAAACTCGTTAAATTTCTAGAAAAAAAGTCGAATAAAATGTTGAGAATAAACTCATTAAATTACGAGAAAAAAGTTGTTAAATTGCGAGAAAAAAAGTCGAGATAAAATGTTGAGAATAAACTCATTAAATTACGAGAAAAAAGTTGTTAAATTGCGAGAAAAAAAGTCGAGATAAAATGTTGAGAATAAACTCATTAAATTACGAGAAAAAAGTCGTAAAATTTCGAGAAAAAAACTCGTTAAATTTCGAGAAAAAAAATCGAAATAAAATGTTGAGAATAATCTCATTAAATTACGAGAAAAAAAAACTCGTTAAATTTCAAGAAAAAAAGTCGAGAATAAACACACTCGTGTCATGTTCATTTCATCTCGTTGGACGGTGTTATTCAGCGTCTGCAGTGGGGTGGGTTGGAGAGTAATGCACTGGGGAGTAGCGATGATACGATCGACTGGGTTCGAGACCATCTTTTGCCAAACTTGCTTTTCTTCCTTTTCAAATATCACATCGGAAAAGTGGAAATCAATTGCTTAACGAGTGTTTAATAATAATGTATTAATTAGGTAGGTTTAGTGTTACTACAGTAAATCCATTGTAAATATTAATTTGTGGATTGAAAAGTATTCTAACTGCATTGTTGTCACACAGGGTTTCTCCTGTTTTCCACGTCAGTGTTGTTGAGAATGGCAGCGCGGTTTCATCTGCCTTTAAACTAGTTTAAATCACTGTGACATCTGTGGTTTGTATCGGAGAGCTCAGCTCCAAACTCAAACGCTTCTCACAGCGATGTTCAGTGGTCGCCTGATCGAGACCTGCGAGTAAACGCATTTGTTCTGAGCTCGCGCTGCGCTGTCTTTAGGCAGAGCTAATAATGATCCGTGCAGTGCGCTTCACACGAGAAGCACTCTTCTGCTTTCGGTGCGCTAAAGAAATGACAGCGCATATGAGTTATCAAATTGTTGTTGTCACTCACGTTTTACTGATACATCTGGCCTAAAATTTAGTGCTGTCACCTTGTGTTGACATTGTGAAACTGCATGATTTGTAAATTATGATTGGCGGGCCACATATAATAGCCTACATTTCAATAGACAAGCTGTGGGCCGTTTGAAATTCATCCACGGGCCGACTTTGGACACCCCTGCCATTGCTATTTACAGTGAAAATAGTTATATGTACTATTTACACTAAGTGACAACAGCAGCATTTTATGGTGCTATTCTATTTACGTTAAGTAAAAGTAGCAGATCTTTGCAATAAATGTAAATAGTAGCTAATTAGATGCTATTTATGCTTATAAATAGTGGCAGATACTATTTGCACCTCAGTATCGTTGTACATTAACAGGATGCAATAATGACATTGGTTTGAATAACAATTATTTTATTTATTGAAATTATTAAATAAATGCTGCCTTATTGGGACAACAAAGCCCTCCTTATAGCCTACATACCCTTAATTAATGCATTATTATTAAACACTCGTTAAGCAATTGATTTCCACTTTTCCGATGTGATATTTGAAAAGGAAGAAAAGCAAGTTTGGCAAAAGATGGTCTCGAACCCAGTCGATCGTATCATCGCTGCTCCCCAGTGCATTACTCTCCAACCTGCGCCACTGCAGACGCTGAATAACACCGTCCAACGAGATGAAATGAACATGACACGAGTTTGTTTATTCTCGACTTTTTTTCTTGAAATTTAAAGAATTTTTTCTCGCAATTTAACGACTTTTTTCTCGTAATTTAATGAGTTTATTCTCAACATTTTATTTCGACTTTTTTCTCAAAATTTTACTATTTTTTTTTCTCGAAATTTAACACCTTTTTTCTCGTAATTTAATGAGTTTATTCTCAACATTTTATTTCAACTTTTTTTCTCGAAATTTAATGCGTTTTTTCTTGAAACATAACGACTTTACTCTCGAGATGGTTTTATTTTTTTATTATTGCTTGGCCCTAATCCTCGTTCGTAACTATGAACTAGCTGAAATAAAATAAGCTTATTTATATTTAGTTTTATATTTATAGTTTTTGTAGTTTTAGTATTTCTCTTCTTTTATTTTATTTTGTATTTTATTTTAGAGTTTTTTCAGTTAATGTTTTTAATGGTTTTTCGTATTTATAGATTTTATTTTGTTTTTTTTAGTTATAGCTTTTTATTTTATTAATTGTAATTAATTTTATTTCAATTCTTGTTTTTAATGGTTTCAGTTTTAGCTAACATTGATGTGGTTAAAAACCCATTTAAAAAAAAAAAATCCCCCCAAAAAATCTTAATGTTGCTGTGAGAGTTTACCTGCATAACACTGTCATCAGCTGATTTGACTTCCACTCTCTCCCATTCCACTCACAGAAACACAATGTAGCTTTATTTTAATGTCCCCTCTACTTTAAGCACAGCTGGATATTATTATTACACCTCAAGAAATCCTCCTGCTCGTCTACAGATCTGCACTGCAGATACAATCAGCATTTGTGTGGTCAGTGCAGACTCGCTGAGCTCTGTAATGTCCGCAGACAAGCTGTCGGTTGCTACGAGCAGCTATTCGTACTGGGAACCTGTTACTGCGGAGGAATTTCATAATGGTGAAGAGTCTGTACAATGCCCTTTGTCTTCAAAAGAGACATACGTACAGCAGAAGGAATGAGGAATGGGCGAGCAGCAGGTTTTTGGGTGTCTCTGGGCGAGGATTTGCAGGCTGTTTCTGGGTGATAGTTTGACTGGAGGGCAGGATTATCAGAGAAAGGTCAGACCAGAGGCCAGTACAGCATTATTGTGTGAAGACTATAACGTAATTAAACGCTTTGGCAAACAGGCTGAAGGAGGTGACTGGTGGATCATACCGAAAGAGCCAGTTTAGTAGATGCCCAGCAGATCTTTGATAACATACTGTAGGCTAGACTTAATCCGGGAGATTTTGGAAGTCAATACGTTACATTTGACCTGATGGAGAGTAATCTGTGAGAAACTTTTATCTGTTTTGAACAAGATTACTGTGAAAGCTAGTTTGCTCAAAAATGAAAATGTCATAATTTTCTCTCGTCATGTCTTCCCAAACCCATACGACTTTCGTTCATCTTTGAAATACAAATAAAGATATTTTTATCAGGATTTTCAGTGATCAGAAATGTCATTCTCTTCAAAACTCTTCAAAATCTCATTGTAAAGCAAAAAGTAAAAAATGTTCCACTGGAAATAATAATAAAATAAATTAAATTAATTAATAAATTAATTACATTTTTTATTACAAAAGTAAGTAACAGACTATATATATATATATATATATATATATATAAATAAACTTTTAACTAAAATTAAAATGAAAAAAAAATGCAGACAAAAACTGATTCAAAATATTAATAAAAACTATAATAGTGTCTCAATGATAACACAATGCACATAGAGAACATAACAGATGGCAAACAGAAGATCAAACATGCTTGGTTGCTCACTTTTTCTTCATTTTTTTCTTTCTGATCACTTATAATATGGGTATTTAATTTTAAGGCATATAACATAGCATTGCTTGCAAACTTGGTCTTCAAATGATTACAATTCTTGCAGAAAAGTAATAGTTATTGCCTGGTGATTGGTTTTCATTTAGCAGTGCGGTTATAAATACCCCATTTATGTGTAATCAACACACAAACGGGCCGGTACTGCACCACCAGAAATGCATGTTTAAAATAAATGACTCTGCAGTTGTTTCTCATGACCAGTTTGAAATTGGATTTTCTTTTGTTCGGTAGTCTGTGAATGTGTTAAACCTATAGTGTGGCATTCTATCGGCATCGTCTCTTTAAAGATTCCTGCTTGATCCCGCACTTTCATTTTTGTCTTGCATGGAATCCATCTTTACCTATTTTATGCTGCCACTAGGAATATTAATGTAGGGTCTCTCAAAAAAAGTGGTGTTTCATCATTGGAGAGATAACATTGTTAGGAGCCCAAATCCAAACAATAGAGCTTTTTTTGACGGCCATCGCTGAGTTCGCAACTTATGCGTCCCACTCGGCTCTCTCTCTCAGATCGGTATGGGATATTAGCCGTCCTACTGGATGCTGATGAGAGAAACCAAATCGAATCTTGATGCACAATTTCTCCACACACGCGGGATGACAGCTATTACCATGCAGGATAACATTTGTTGTCGCTTGATTACGCTAATGAGAATGCACACAAATATGAACTGCTTAAATGTTATTGAAATTAGGCTTAATTGCTGATGGCACCTCAGGTTAATTTGTATTCCCTTGCCCAAATGTGTGTTTGTGGATGCGGCTGAGAGTTTGTTGCAGCAGGAGTTTGTCCTGCTACACGGCGAGGGTCTGAGAGAGGTTGGTGCTTCTTCGCACATAACCGTCATCCTTAGACAAGACAGGCCAGAGAATATTACTGTAGTTGTGGATAAAGGAGGCTGCTTTCGATTTTATTGAAGGATGGATGTCGTGAAACAAAGCAAAAACAGAGAGGGATTGGTGCTAAACCTAATCCAGACACTTTCTTGTAAAAAATGTCAGAGTTGTTGTATTTCATGTTTGTTTTGTATTGTTTTTCTGCTTAATTATTGATGCCGACTGCTTTTATTCCCATTGAGCGCTCCATTAAAGAATAATTAATTGCGGAGGGGAAAGTGCTCTTTGATTCCTTTCAGACAGAACTGGTGAGGGAAGGAAAGAAGAGCTGTTTGGCTGAGAACTGAGAGCACATGAAACATGCTGAATGCAGGTTTGGGGAGTAACAAAGCAGGGGAGATGGTGCAATAGTAAAAGTCAAATGTACCAGTAAATTTCTTCAGTCACAAACACTCTACACTCTTAAAAATAAAGGTTTCAATGGGAACCATTTTTAGTTGCCTGAAGAACCTTTCTGTCATCAGTTCTTGGACCATTTTTTTCTTAGTCTAAAGAACATTTTAAAGTGCCCCATTATGCCATTTTTAAGGTTCTTGATATTGTTTTGGGAGTCTCCTACAATAGGTTTACATGCATGCAAGGTCAAACAATGCTTTCATTTTCTCAAAATATGCATTTAATATTACCTCATTTTCCAACGATTCTCAAACAATTAGTTCGAAGCAGTTCTAAGATTCAGTCTCTCTAAAACCCTCCTTTCCGTGAGCCTACTCTGCTCTGATTGGTCAGATGGCACAGTCTGTTATGATTGGTCTACCGCATACAGCGCTTGTCGGAAACAATTCTTTTCCAAATTTTGAATCTATTATTTATCATACTTACATGTTGAGATTCAGTGGAGCCAGCTGGTCTATATAAACTGGGTACTGAGCCATCTATCAGGAGCAAGTGTTTTGCGAATCCCACGTTGAACTCCCCGAGATTAGAGAAGCAGTCAACAGTAAAATTATGCATTTTAGAGCGGGTCAAGTTGTTCGTGGCCGGCCAACGTAGAACAAAGGAGTGCATTATGCAAATGCGTTACCCCGTAACGTGTAGCCATCACGGAATTGGGATTTGAATGACTAACGACTCGTTTCCACAGTTCAGAGTCGACTCTTTCGTTTGGGAGACAATAACTTTATTTATCTTACACTTTCGGCTTTACAACTTTGCAGATTGTTTGCATTCACATACAGCTACATTAGACACTGCATAAAAGACAATATTCGAAATGGCATAATAGGGACACCTTAATAATCTAAAGAGCCTTTTCCCACTATAAATAACCTTTTTGCACTGGAAAGTTTCCATTCTCTTAAAATTATTATCATTTTTGGTTCCCCAAAGAACATTGCAGTGATCAGCCCTTAAAAGAACCATTTTTTCCCCCCTTAGTGTGAAGAACATTCTAAAAATCCAAGGACAAATCCAAGAACACTTTGTGGAATGGAAAGGTTCCATGGATGTTAAAGGATCTTCATGGAAGCATTGGTGCCAATAAAGAACCTTTCTTTTTAAGAGTGTACTGTAGAGTGTTGCCATGTATTCAGTACATGCTCAGGAGAGTTCCCAATTTCTGGGAACAACAACAACAAAAATTTAGGATACAAAAATTTTAGGAACAAAAAAATAAGGATTTTTGGGTTTTTCACTGTCTGACGTTTAGATGCCTTTTGAATGCACTAATATCCATTTTATCTCTAGATTGTTGGTTAAAAGTATCATGAATTACTTCATACAACTGTAACATAAGCTGGGTGCACACTGTACAACTTAAAATAGTCCTTCACTATTGTTCACTGAAAAACAGTGTTTTGAATTTACATGATTTAATCATGTACATCGGTCCCACATTAATCAATTAAGTTAAACGACTGTATTTTTTTCCACAGAATTTCAACAATTTCAACAATATTGCAACAATACTATAGCGAGAATAAAAGTTACGCCTTCTTTCTTTGCGTGAACATTTGGGCGGTGTTATGCAAATCTTCCCACATCGTGACGTAGACATGTGGGGGCGTGTTAGAATGAGCCGTTTTAGGTAGGCGTGGTTGACTCTTAACTTTTATAAAGAATATCTCTTTGGATTTGAGACTTTAGTCTTTGCAACTTTACAGATCTTCTTTATGCACCAAGAGCTTGTAACACTCCAAAGAGAAAGGAAAAATTGAAATCGCATCATATGACCCCTTTAAGTGACCTAATTAAGTAGCCTTAAAATGTTTTATAGGGTTTCCTGACAGGATTATTAATGAATTGAATCGAGCACCTAAACACACCAATCACAAGTAAGGGGACGTGTCCATTCATGTTGGGGCAGTTGCGTGTGGGCGGAGCTATCAAAATGTCGAGATGGGCGTGTTTGTTTTAGTAATTTCAAATATCAACAGCACTCCTCAGAAATTACTTACTGCACCTTTAATTCATTCAATTTCATAGATTTTTGTGTTCCATGACTGAATTATCAGATTGTACTATGTAGATAACTAGCTATTAGCTAGTAATAGTACATATTAGCATGTTAGATGGTAAGCATTAAACTCTTTGAGTTTAATGTCATAAAATCATAGAGCAATGCCATGAGAAAATATCTCTATATCTCATTCATCTGCCACCTGATGATACTATCTGCTCCCTTTCAAACTCTCTTTAATCAGCCTTTACTCATGATCATATTATTTCTTATGCTGCAAAATGCACGTCTGCATGTTAACCTGTGCACACAAATCAAGGGGGTGATGGGAAGAGTTTTCAAAGGATTCATGTCTTGAGTAGGTTCTGTTTGACATTGCCTTTACATCGGTTGAATTCACAAAACATCACTATTAGAGTACATGTGATCAAACCTGATGATACTATCTGCTCCCTTTCAAACTCTCTTTAATCAGCCTTTACTCATGATCATATTATTTCTTATGCTGCAAAATGCACGTCTGCATGTTAACCTGTGCACACAAATCAAGGGGGTGATGGGAAGAGTTTTCAAAGGATTCATTTTCTTGAGTAGGTTCTGTTTGACATTGCCTTTACATCGGTTGAATTCACAAAACATCACTGTTAGAGTACATGTGATCAAGTTGAAATTGGTGTAATTGACAGAGCGAAACCAGAAGAAATGCTCCTTGATTATACATCAGAAAACTAAGGGCTGAGTTGTTTCTTCACTGCCTTTCTCTTATTCTTCTGTGGGCATTGTAGATGTTGAAATGAATGCATCAGGTGTGCCAAATGAAAGCTTTGATTCACTGGCTTTTATTCAATTACTTTTCTTTTGTTGAACATCATAAGACTTTTGTTGTCTTGCGCAAAGGTATAAGTGAAACTCTCCTGCTTAGACTCTGCTGGAGACCTTTCGGCTCTCAGGGGAGAAAATGAAACTAACACATACATATTTCCAAGCGGGGGGTGGGGGGCTGATTTCTGTTCTGGCACCAAAAAGTTGCATTGCTAGTTTGGATAGCATTTGCATGAGTTGAAGCAGTGTAATGGCCCAAGTTCCATTCTACATAACAATAAAACAGGAAATGCAGATGAATATAGCACACAGATAGATTCAGATGAGAGGGTGGGAATGGGGAAGAGGAAGAAGAAACTACAATAACACACAATCTGCGAACACAACACTTTTTCTGCCTCACAGGGGCGGCAGCTGTGCTACCTCGCTATTCCCGGGGGATTTTAATGGATTCTCCCTCGCAGGAGGAGGCGACGACTCCTGGGCTTAAACACAGTGCTGGTGGGAGCCGGGATGTGCTATTTACACAGAAATGAGCTGCAGATACATCAAATCATAGAGCAGGACTCTACTTAGGCAGATTTATTTTTACCTGACTGGATTCAGACCTCTCTTAATTATGCTGGCTAGATGTTTGTGGAAGCTGTTGAGTTTGTGCGCGGCTCAATATTTTGGGATATTTTCTGAAAGCCACTTTAAATTGACCTTGTGGGCTTAAAGGAAATGTTCACCCAAATATGAAAATTTGCTGGATATTTACTCAGCCTCAGGTCATCCAAAATGTAGATGAGTTTGGTTCTTCATGGGAACAGATTTGGAGAAATGTGCAGATCAAGCACTGTTTACAAGCAAAAACAGTCCAAAACAGCTCTAAACAAATATGTGTGTGTATTTTGATGTGAGAGGACAACAGGAGATAGACTTTTTCATTGGAGGAAGCGTTATTATGGATTATGGACTCATATTATGAAATATGGACTCATTTATTAGCTGTTTGGACTCTCATTCTGACGGCACCCATTCACTGCAGAGGACTCTGGTGAGCAAGAGATGAAATGACATATTTCTCTAAATCTGATGAAGAAACAAACTCATCTACATCTTGCGTGGTGTTTCAAGCAAAAACCAATCATCCGTATGTTTTCTGGGTTGATTAAGTATTCTTGTTTGGATATCTATTGTCATTGTGTGGCACTTCATTTACTTTTTCAGGCTGCTTACAGTGAAATATCCAATATGTACAGAATCAGTGAGATATAATGCATGCCTCAATTCTGGAGTAACTGTCTGAGACATCCTCTAAGAATCTAAGAATATTCTCACATGGTTCATCCACTGGCATCGTTTGTCAATGAACACAACAATGCACCTCAAGTGTGTGTCATATGTTAATTGAAAGCAAGACTCCCGAAGACTCATGCATTATTCACACTGGATTCAATATTCCAGGCTAAATTTGTGTAATTTCATGAAAAATAAAAACAAACCAAGGTCTCTCTTTACAAAAAAGTGTCCAGCAGATTAATAATGTATATGATGGTCAAAGACAAGAGACAGCTGATCCTGACGGCAGTCTCTGGTCCTGAGATTACAGTAGACCTGATGACCTGCAGTCATGAAAAATTTACATCTCTGATATTGAGCTGACTTTATGCTTTATTTAGACTTTATTCAGATTATCTTACCGCCGGTGATAAGCCCGAGTGAACGGAAAAACCTCTATATCTATCTATCTATCTATCTGTCTATCTATCTATCTATCTGTCTGTCTGTCTATCATCTATCTATCTATCTATCTATATCTATCTATCTATCTATCTGTCTATCTATCTATCTATCTGTCTGTCTGTCTATCATCTATCTATCTATCTATCTATCTATCTATCTATCTATCTGTCTGTCTGTCTATCATCTATCTATCTATCTATCTATCTATCTATCTATCTATCATTTTATTTTAATACTTTTTTCTGTTGTTCTCTTTCTATATTCTATCGTTTTACCCATCTTTCTATCTGTCTGTTGCAGAAACATATATTAAATTAACAATTAGTGCTTCCTTATATGAACAATCTTTATTATTCTTTATCATTTACTATGGACCTTTTTCACATTTCCGGGTTTCTCAGCAAAAGTCGTCATAGTTGGGTTAACTGTGAGAGCGGTGAATGGGAGAGTACCACAACAATAATTTTTGCATTCCCATTTGCTCAAATAGCAAAAGAAAAACTCCACAATAGTGTTTTCATGACGTTCAAAAAAAAATAAATAAAATAAAATAAAAATTGAGAGAGACTAATAACGGCAGTCAGAAGATAGAACGATGCCAAATTTACCGTCCCTCCCATAGACCAAACATTAAAAAAAAAAACTAAAAATATATAAAAAAAAAAAAAAAACTTTCGAGGATTTACGATGCTGATGACCATTGAAACGCGTCATCAGTCTTGTGAAAAGGGTCCATTATATTCTTTTTCAGGTGGTTTCAGTTATGTTTTGCTAAACAAGATCATATCCAAGTAATCAAGTAATATGATACAAGTAATCTGTCCAGTAGAGTCAGCAGACACTTACTAACATCTCTGATAATCACTACAGACATTGTGCATGAGTCTGTAGTAGTGATGAACCTGACACTCTTCATACATTCATCCGTCAGCGTGTGGAGGTTTGACACCTGACCATCAGAGGTGAAATCTGTCCATTTTCATTATTTCTGAGTGAAAAACAAGAACTTGTATAGTCTCTTTTGCAACCAAATGAGACGCAGATGAAAAAAAAAACACATTAAACAATGACGCTGTCAAGCTGTCAGTAAGGTAATGAAGTTGGCCAACACCATTTGTCTTATTTTGTCACGGTTTTTCCCCATTAGTCATAACGCCTTGCCATTAACTCCTCAGGAACCCCCTTCACCCAAGGACACCTAAACTCACTTTTAGCACGCACACACACACACACCATGACCAAGACGCTAAACTAGAGGAACAGAGGTATAGAATGTTGCAGAATGAAGTAGTCAAACTCTACTCAGGGGCAGCAGAGGTCTGTAAGTGATGAACA